ACATAGATGTTTACATTTTTCATTTATTTTTTATATTGCAAACATTTGCACTGTTATCAGTATTTGCACACTATTTTATATTATTTTTTGACAATCTTTAAAGTCATTATTCAACACATTGTTATTGTTAAATAAATATCGTCAAATAAACAAGATCTTAATTTCAGTGAAAACAATCGTAATTATCATTTTTGCCATAATCGAGCAGCCCTAGTCCAGACCTTTTACCAACTGAAAACATGTGAAGCACCATGAAATTAAATATATAGCAAAGGAGACCCAGGACGGCCGAGCAGCCAAATTTTTAGCAACTGGTCTCCTCACGTTAAAGAGCAAATATTAGCACATATTATTCTAAAATGACACTGTTTCTCACTTTAAATATTTTATACATATGTTGTACTTTAAATAAAGATGATATTTATAAAATATGCAAACCATTGCATTCAGTTTGTATTTGCAACCAAAGCTGGTTTGTAAAAACAATTCATATCACGATGTGGCGCCGTACTTCCTATCGTTCGTCAGTTTTTACAATAGTTGGTTAGCGACTTTCCTAAACAGGTGATTTTATATGTTTTCTCCACCACGTAACAGTGTGCATGACTATAATCAGGAGTCATTGGTAGGAAACAGAAACCAACCTTACTGTGCATTTTATGAATGGCTTTTGTTTCATACATCAATCATTTTTATTTTGAGAAACAACATTACAAAAAGTCTGAAGAAAATTATAAACATGTTATAAACACATGCAGAAAAAACATATCCAATCTCTTCCTACAATATTAAAGCCATCATTCAATACAGTCCCTAACATTTGCGTGAAGGACAATCTAACATATTTTTAAGCAGAACATTTTATAAACACTCTCACAGGAACCAATGGAGATTTGATCTGCAAGCCCATAGAGAGATGGCTGTCTGCTGGGAAACATAACGCTTACACAACTCTGAATTCACATGCATACATGAACACACACCCTCACACACACACACACACACACACACCCTCACACACACACACACACACACACCCAGCATCTGCTACTGTTTTTTTATGGTCGGCTTGCTGATCCCACACCACATGGAGTCTAAATCACTGTTATCACTGCTGCTCACTGTCTGACTCAGTAAGACATGACTGGGAGATGAGAGCTGCTGTGTGTGTGTTTGTGTGCATGTGTGCATGTGTGTTATGCAGTTATAACATCTGGGTTGTGACATCTGAATGTGAGGCTTTAAGAGGATTGTTGCCTTCTGCTGGTCAACAAATACGCGACCAAACACACAATTCACATATTGACAAAGGAATTTAAATTGATTCAAACAGCAACGTCTCACCTCCTAAATAATTTCTGGCCACATTTATTGGTCAAACACTTCATTAAAATGATATTATGATGGTGCAGCGGTGCTGTGATTCATTACATATTTATGTCCCTGAAAATCTATTAAATGTTTCACTCTTTTCCCATGAATCGTTTTTGACTGCCTGCCTGGTGCCACTTCAGAACCATGCGGGACTTCGTTTACAATATTTTGGTCACATCTGCAAGAGAGTTTTAATAATAAGCATCCTTCTTTTCTTTAACTTCATTGGCTCATTAATTAATTAGTTAGTTCTATGTCAGATCCACTGAGCTCAGTATCTTCCCCAACATGCTACTTCAACGTGCAGACTGAACTTGAACTCGGCACCGCCAACCTCAATCACATCACGTCACTAGCTGCACAGTACAGAAGTTCACAATTTCATTTAGCCTCATGGATCATTTTCCTCCTGTGGATATAAAAAAAAAAAAAAAAAGCCCTCTAAGCTGTCACGCCTCATTTATTATCAATCCCAAACATTCTATCTTTGGTAACCAAACTCACGTGATGGAATCTTCTCAGCATTCCATTTCCAAGGGAACCATCAGTGAGCGGCATACTGGAATGTTGTGGAATGTTTCCATTGTGTGGGAAGGGAAAGAGCCCACTGGATGAAGTTAATGGTAAGGAATATGACGAAGATGATGGCGCTCAGTTTTTAAGATAAAGACAAATAAAGACATATCTGCTTTTACAAGAGCAAACACTTGCTCTACTTAAGTGCCTTTGAGCAGGACACTACTCCACTTGGATTGCCCGTGGTTGTCATGGGGACAAGTTGATGTTTGGAACCAAAAGTAAAACAAAGATGACAAAGTTATCAAAGATGGAATGAAAGCCAGTCAAATACTCAGACAAGATCCAGGATTCTGGATAAAATGAGGATTTTCTTTTAGTCCTTCAGACAGAAGAAGGCCTTTTACGTTCCAATCCATCCCAAACAAGGGTAAATAAAAAAATATATATACATTTTTACATGATACATGAAATTTTATATAAAAGTATCAACGACGGTAGTCAAAACAGCATAACATCACTCTCCGTTTACGGTCCACAGTGCGTGCAATAACTAGAGCGACAGCTTCAGATGATGATTTAGTGTCTATACAGGGAGATAATTTAACAACTTTCAACAAAGCACAGCACTTTTGCCTTAATCGACTAGTTAAGAAGCTCAAACCAAGATGCAACTTTCTAAATAGTAAACATTAACAAATTACATGTTAGGACATGTGAAAATACTGTACATGTCCTGAAGAGTTACGATGTTAATCACTTTAGTTAACATTAAACTAAAGTGTTAAGCAGTCACAATCACAGCAGCTCACTGGGAAAGGATGAAAAACACCCTTTATTTACACATATACCTTATAAATGCTACTGCCTGAAAGCGCTAATAAAACTGTATTTTTTTTCTATATGGTCAGAAATATCATTATTAATATCATTACTGCAAATTTTCTTTATATTACCCATCCTTAAACCCACACAGAGCATTTTCAGTTATTGGGACATATCCAATATGGATAATCTCCTGATACATGTGAGAAAGGCCAACTTACCTGGACCTTTTTCTTCCAACATCATCTACAGATGAAAGTCATACAGAATATGTTCCAGTATGTTAAGTTAAATTAGCAAGAACAAGTAAAGAAAGCCCGTGCTACCTTTGGTACTCAGACTTTGACTTTATGACACTGACAAAAAAAGATCTGAGGTTTGTCGCCCAGCCCTTCTTACTAACGTGGGTGAATAATATGCAGCGCTGCAGTAATGACTGTAACTCATCTCATGAGTGGCAGCTACAAATAACAATTTG